TGACAGGACCCCTAGGATAAGGAATGGGCTTCCAAGGGAGGTGGTTGAGGCCCCATCAGTGAGAGTGTCCAAGGAAAGATTGGACAACCACATGTCAGGGATTACATGAGTGGAGCCAGCTGGAGCCAGAGGTCAGATCAGATGGCCTGGGAGGCTCCTTCTGACTCATTTTGTTTCTATGTTCTATCTTTCTATGAATGCATAAAAGACTTGGGTTTAGTAATAAAACATTGCCTTTCATTTTGGTGTTTATTACTTCAGGAATGATCACTGGCATAGGTTGCCTCATATTAAACTTCTGTGAGTACTGTCCCACTGTTCACAATGTTGTACTTTTGTGTGATAATAAAAGAGGCAACTAAATGCCACCAACAAAATGGTAGCACAGCTTCTTGTTATGAAATGGCTGGGGCCAACCACCAGATGGTGCATTCTTCCCTGGGTGCTTCCAGATGGAGGTCTCAGTACTAGAACTCCAAAGCCATTGTAAAGCTATTCTGTCTTTCCCTCCTTAATGGATATTCTGCTGTAAGGAAAAAGATGGAAGAGGTGGAAGAAGGAGAACATGGGAAAGTTTTGAGTAGAGGATGTCATTGTTGTCTGGATTCCCAGTAGAATTCCATGAGTAAGGCATGATTAAAAAAAAAAAAAAAAAAAAAAAAACCTCATGCAAAAGCATTCCCCAAGTCCGTCAACAGTCATCCTCTGAAGATAAGTGCTTGTATGAGCTGACATATGCATTTATACAACCTCAGGAGTGGCCCTAAACTTTTGAGAGAGATTTGGTTTTTATTTTATGGTCACAAACCAGGAAGATTAAAAAAATGGATAAAATATCAGTAGAAAAATTAAAGCACAGTTAAAACAAGCATGATTTATACAATGTTTTCACACAATAGATGACCACATTTTTCCTAATCTGCACTGCAGACATAAAAAATTTGGCAACAGTAACAGAAGAGAATAGATCCCTTAAACACATAGATACCACAGTGGAAGAAATATTCCCATAAAGATCTTTTATTAATGGTTTAATCAATTTCTTTCTGCATTCCCTATAAAAGTTGCAATTTAAGAGAACATGTTCCACTGTTTCTACTCTTCCAGCACCACATACCTGTTCACTGACTGAGGTCTTTTTAAATCATCCTTTTAATAGTGCTGATAGAAGCACATTAAAATGAGCAAGAGTAAATGCTCTTCTGTACTTTGGGATAGTTAGTGTGTACAGATATGGGGCTGAAGTAAATCCATTATTATAGCAATTATTGCAGTTAAGATGAAAAAGTGAGGAACAAGTTTTACTAGCAGTGGTTCTCAAATATTGATGATCCAGTTTATTAATCTTTGAACAATGAGAAATTGGGACTTCTGCAGCCCATAATTGCCCAGCACTTCTGCAGAGAAAGCTAGCCTATGTGACTTCTTGTCCTTTTTTTTTTTTTTTTCATCCATCAGTTAACATACATATCTGAAAGCAGTAGAGACAGGTATTCCAGGAGCTGCTGGAAAATGTAAACATAGCCACCATTTAATCCATGCCTTACATTCAGCAAATCGAATCCCTATTTCCAGATAAATGGCTGCATTCTGCACACAGGGAGGAAGGTCCAACAGCTTCCTTAAAAAACCCAGACTGGACTTTTTTCATTTGAGAGTTAGGCCAAGGTCTTTGCTTTACAAATTTGTATTACAGAGGGGATATGATGCCACCTTGGGTATAAAAAAAAAAAAGAATCTTAAAATCTGCAGCTAGCTAAAGTTTGCTGATTCAATTGCTCATCTACATTGTTCAGATCAGAGCCCAGTGCTCTGTATTTGAATTTGTAGGTATTTTCTGCAGGAGACTTGCTTAATGATATTGCCATTTAAAGTCCTTTTAAATTGTTTTCTAGCTTTTGAGAACACCAGGACTTTAGACTTATTATAATTAAAGTTTAGGCATTTCATAGAGTAATAAGTTCCAAATGTAGCTAATAAACAGTTTAATCCAATTCTGGAAAGTGACAGCAATACAGTATTGTCAGCATACAGAAGTAAAGGGATCTTAGTATTACACAATCTAGGAGAATGAGAATTGATGTTATGGAAATGGAAGGTCCGATCATTTAAAATGAATAAAAAAGAAAAGGGGGCAGAATGCGATCCTGTCCCATGAGTGGAAGGGGTTGAGTTAGTAACTTGTCCCTGCAGACCATATCTGACTTGACTGAAAGTCTGGTTGTACAAACATCTGATAAGGAACAGTAGGTCCTTATCCATGGAATTATTGTATGATTTAGACCCTTACTGTTTCCTCAGTTCCAAATCAGGGAATAATTTAAGGTCAATAAAGGTAGCTGGTAGCTTCCCACCAGAAATGGAGGTATACTTCTCTGCCAAATGAGCCAGCAGACAGCAATGGTCTAAGGATAGTGCTAGTTTTGATCTTCCATCCAGTTAATAACTTGTGTTTTAAGTATCTTGCATAAAATTTTCCTAACAACTGAAAGAAGACTGATAGGAATGATAATTGGCAGGATTTGTCCTGTCACCTTTTTTAAAGATGGGAACTATGATCACTTTGCTTCCAGAGTTATTAATATAAGTAAACAAATCTGACGGTAGAGATGCCCATCATTCTGGATTCAATTTTAAAAGATCAGGTGGAACAGCATCTGGGCCAAGCACTTTCCAGGCTTAAATTTGACAATCAAATCAATAATTTCACTAGGCGTGACAGACTGCCATTCTCGAACATGGAAAGACAATCAAAAGCTGTGTGAAAAAAAGAATATTAGGTTCCTGAAGCATTGCAGAGAAATGTCTTTTCCACTCACAGTTAGGAATTCAACAAGCAGGATATTCATGTTGCTCTAGCAAGGATCCCACTATAAGTTGCCAAAATATTTTATGGTCCTTCTTTTGTACTGTACGTAGTAACAAATTCCATCTCTCTCTAGCTCTTTCTTTAAGTTTATCAAAACCCTATATTCTCATTTTTCTAGCGAACATTTATCTCCATTATTTCAGTATGCAGAATAAACCTGCCTAATCTTATTCTGAAACAATCTACCCTCATTGTCAAACCAGCTTTTGTTTCTGTGGTATTTATTCCCAGCCTGGATAGTATCAGCCACTAGAGTACTCTGTATACTAGAGATTATTATCTCATAATGATGCAACTTCTCTTCATCAAACAACAGGGGATGCTATGACTGAGTCAAATTTACTCCATATATTTTTTGTCCACTTGATCTCTTTCACACATAGGATCCAGGAAGAGTCTGATAATAAAGAGCTAATGAGTAAATAGATCCTTAGAGAAGGTTCAGCTAAAAGAGGCATGCTAAAAGAGCTTAACGCACACCGAATTTTTGGATGACATCCTTAGAATGTCTAGTATATGGAGTGTATACTCCTTATGGCTAATTCCTTGAAGATGTTGAGATACTGCTTATGAATTGTCATTGCTGGAATTAAAGTCACCAGTATAAGGACCTGTGCTGATGGAAACTTTGACTTGTTATGAGTGAAATAATGTTCTACCTCTTTTCACTGAGCTTTATTATCAGAAAGGCATTTAGATGGAGGTACAGAGATATCAAAGAATAAAATTTGAAAAATCTGCTCTTAATTAGGGTTGCCACAGCAACTGTCCCACACCTGGAAAAGGTAACTACTTCAAAACTGAGAGATGCTGAGAAGGCATAGCAAACCTGCTCTAAGCATTTTTTTTTTTTTTTGGAAGATTTAATTGCTGCCAGTGAGGTAGCAATATATCCATTGAACATTATTTGTTCACACACCCAAGACTCCTGCAGCAGAAATCAAAGGGTTTAATATAATTGAGAAATTATTTATCTTTAATCTTCCCTCTCCAGGCTGCTACATTCCATGAAAGATATCTGATTAAAGGTAATGAATTGCTTCTCTTCAAGGATCAGTCAATAGAATTTAGCTTTTCTAACATACCCTCTTGGCCAGAAAAGATGCTGCCACTTTTAGTTGGAGCCATCCACTTGTTTGGAGACCTAGAAGGGAGAATTAGGATAAATGGTGAACTGAGTTCCTAAGCTGCCAGAAACTGGAAACTAATCCTGTCCTTTGAGTCAACAGTGCCAATGTTTAATTGAGTGACATTGAACTTAATCGTCAGTTCTTCCTCAGACATCAGTTGTTTTAAGTGATCCATCTTTAATTAAATGTACTGGGGAGAGCACTTTGCTAGTTAATGATGCAGCCAGTGAGAACTTGTGAATGCCCTATTAGTGGTGTTTATGGGTTTGTCTTTCCTTGTTGTTTTATTTTGCATGAACATTCTATTCATCATAAAATCAAGGAATTGTCCTATTAATGTGATGTCATGGCAGGGAAAATTGAGAAACTTTCTGTGAACTCTATATGATTTTGAATATACCCTTTCCTACCCAATTAAGCCCCATCTCCAACAAGTTTCTAGGGACACTGGAAGTATCTACTAGTGTTGCTGCATAAACTTTTGATACTGCAGGTATTGTGCTGTTGACTCTGTTGAGTGCATGAGATCATAGCGACATTAATCCATTCTCCGAACCTGATGTTATGTTTGCCATCCTACTGGGACTTTAAGTTTGGTTTTAACTAATTTCTCTTTGCTTGTCTCAGGAACACACATCTAGTACCTCATTCAACAATGGTATAAAATGTTTGGAAAACAACTTTAATTACTTGTAATTAATCTCAAAGTGCTCAGTTTATGTTATTAGGGACAACAGGAAAGTATCCAACATACATTTCCATAAGTTCTTCTGCTTGATGCTGCATACTCTTTGAATATAATCCATCTTTCATTTTCATATTACATGATTTTAATTACAAAACTAATATATGAAAAATGTTGATCTTCATCTTCCATCCTCAGAAATGAGTTTTCAAATGGATGTTTGCATAAGGAAAGGGAAATGTTGCATTTGTTACAGGGGCATAGGTCGATCGCCACTTGCTTTTTAATTTGACCGTTGACCTTTCTTTTGTTACAGATGGGGAACACAAGGGGATTTTACCACAACTCATCCTCGGCCAGTAGTCAAAGTGAAACTTTTTACAGAAAGCACTGGAGTCCTAGCACTTGAAGATAAAGAGCTAGGAAGGGTGAGTGCTGATGGAATTTTCACTTTTTAAATATATTAAGGGACGACTAGTGAAAGCTTCTCTGTAAGCCCCAAGGATTTTCAGTGGTTTTTTTTCCCCACAGTACTATTGGAAAGCTATGATTTATTTCCCTGAGGTATTGAGAATGACAAGACAGCTGCCTTGTGTGGTGCATATTTATTTATTTATTTACCTGCTGCCTAAGAGAAACCTTCCCAAAGTGGCTTTCAACAATAAAATACATAAACCATTAAAATATTTTAAAAAATTGAAAACATAAATGCAGTATAAACAGCAGTGAAAACAAGTGGTGAACCCAACAACAGTAGTAAATGTCTGTAATTTAGAGTGATGTCTATCATAAAAAATTCAACTGCTATAGCTGGTCCTTTCAATGGATAAAAATGAAGCTGGGTGTAATAAAATTGAGTCTTAATGAGAGATTTTATGGATGGAATATTGAATAATGTTCACCTTGCATGGCTAGATCTTCTAAAGAATGGCCAACCTTTCTATTAGGCAAATTGAGGACTCTTTCTCCAAGCAGCACACAAATTACTTGCTCGTGCCACAGAAGTAAGCCTGTGCCACAGAATGCCAGAGATAAGTGGTTATATTGTCTTCTGGCACTGCTATATAATCACTGTGCTTCTGTTCTGTTGTTTGAGAATAAAATGTAATTTTAATAATAAAATAGCACTCCAGATGGAATCAACTTTCTCAAAGATAAAATCCCTTCACAAAAAGTAGAAAATTTCTACCCTCACCATATATAATTGAATGGTCCAATGGACCAATCTGAATGGTCAACCCCTCCCTCTCTCTTGTTTCATTTCGGATTTTTTCATTTCTTTCAAGGTAAGAATATCCAGAAGTATTCAAACACATTTGTGTATTTGTTGCATCCCATTAACTTACAAAAGAATAGCCAACATTTCCCCCTGTTTGCCATGAGGCTTACTTTGCATCCCCTAAGTAAGCCTCAAGGCTCAGGTGCAGCAGAGTTTGACGTCCCATCCTCAGTGGTGAAGACAGATTCATCTGCCAATTTGGCTGGCTTTATGAAATGACAGCAAGCATCATTTTATCCTTCGCTGCAGACTGCAAAATGCTTTGAACTGTCCCTGCTACCTCATATTGCCTTCTAGGGAGTGTATCTGATATGAAATTCAGAAGACAGAAAAGAGTATCTATAGAGACTGCAACATTAGTAAAGGATGCTTCTGCTTGAATAATCATTTTCCAATATGCACGACTTCTGCAACACATCTGCCACATGTGGAAAAAAAACTGCTTCATTTTTAGCATAGCACCAACTGTTACTCTATCCAACTTCGTAGATCTTGACTACTTCCCAAGGTGTTAAATTCTATTTCATTGCCATTTTTATATACTTCACCCTCAACATTGAGCTCACAACAAAATGAATTCCAAGCCCAAACAAGAAAAAATAACACTTCTGGTTAAAGTTTCCTTTGTAAATTTTGGCTGATAATATATTACAGCTGCAGTGCTAACATATGAGCTTTCTTCTTTCAATATTTATTTCACTTTTATACCACCCAATAGCTGACAGTTAACAAAAGGTAAACACACAAAAAAGAAAGAAAGAGAAATAATGCAACAAAACCATAACAATTGCAACTGAATCAGCACGGTGGTATAGCAGTGATACAGGATAAAATGCAATATTAAAACTAAAGTTAAAAGGTTTACTTTTAAAACACTGGGAAAATAAAAAGGGTTTTACCTGGCACTGAAAAGAACACTGAATAGGAAGTATTTCATACCACATGCAGTTAAACAATAGAATTCATTACCACTGGATGTACTGATGGACACTACCAGTTTGGACAGCTTTAAACTGGGACAAACTTGGGCAAATCTATGGAAGAGAAGACTTTCAATGGCTATTAGTCCTGATCAATCTCCACTATCTGCATATACTAGTTCCTGGAGGCTGTTGCTGCACTCATATCCTGCTTGGGAGATCCTGTGTGCATTTGGTTAGCCACTGTATGATCAGACACCTGGACGGGATGAACCTTTGGTCTGTTCCAGCATGGCTTTTCTTATCTTTCTTCCATCTAGACCAGCATGTTGCCTGTGTGTACCTGTGTGCCCTCTGGACACCTACCAAGCTCCCTACAGTTCCACTTCTTAAAAATTCAAAATATTCCCTTACTAGCACCTGGGATTGCATAGAAATAGCTTTCTGATGGTGTTGAAAACTGTGGCTCAAACAAGTTGCCTATTGAATTGTTACTTGAATCCAATGCCCTAAACTCAGTCTTTCTGAAATTTCCAAATATGCCCATGGCTCAAAAAGTTTGCATGTATACCTCTGATCCAGCCCTTGCTGTTTATGCATGAATCAGGTTTTGTGGGTGGAGATGGACATCAGAATTCCCAAGGAATAACTCCGTTTGGGCAGTAAAAACAGTACAGTGGTTCCTAACTTTGCATCTTGTAAAGTCTTGTAAGGCCAGCTATCCACTTCAAAGGAGAGTTGCACTATGATATTCTAGTTCAGAACATTGTGTTCATGTAATGCTTAATACTGTCATCTAAGCAGGATTCCATTAGTGGATGGCTTCTTGTATGGACATTTCTTAACAGCAATCAAAACTCGTTTCTAAGGCAAATGATGCCTAATGACAAGTTGCCTTATGAAAGACTGTGTCTCATTCATGATGTTACCTTTTCTTCTTCACAGTGCAGCACCACTTAGTGATTTGAATTACGCCTTTTATTATTTGTGGAATTTCTATAGGCATTCAGTAATAAATCTTTAAAACTTCAGTCCAGACAAGCAAGTCCCATTATGAGTAGGAAAGGCATAGCCTAATTCATCTTACATCACTCTGAAAAAGGTACTTCTCCACTCTAATCAAAATACAGTAGTTCTTGTGAATACTTTTAGGTGTTTGCTGCATTAAATTATGTCACATTTTCCTGTCTCTATTGAAAATGCAAGAGGCAAAGACAATTTAAATGGTCCTTAATCATTCTGAAAGGTTATTTTATTTTATTTTTTTGCTCTGCTCTCTCAGCACTGTTAAGTCCTGTAAATTCAAGACCATTTATGTTAGATAGTGCTTCGATGCTACATTCTGTTCAAGGTATATGCCCCCAAATTTGCTTGACTGAGAAATAAGGTTTAAAATAATATGGTAAATGCCTGCTTGGTTTGCATGTAATGCTAAACCATGGTTTAGCACTACATGCATGAGCTTGAATGAGCCTCAGCAAAACCTCGGGATTCTGTGCTCCCCTCCATGTGGCCAGGAGGAGGAATTTTGGAAAGTTTCACTTGCCACAAAAGATAGATTGGCGTGCATGAACCAGAAATCATGGCTCTTAGGTAATACACCGACTTCAAACTATGGATTACGAAACTTGTTTAACTGACCAGACCCTGTTTTAAATCATGATCTTCAATTCCCTTGTAATGACAATCCATTTTCTGCAAAAAACAAAATTAAACACTGCCAAAGTCCGCCTCCTTAGCTGTGTAGGGGAAGGGAAGTGGGGAACGCACTTCCGGAATCATCACTTGGGCTTGTGCACATGGCGCTAAACTGTAATTTAGCATTATGTCCAAGTGAGATAATTATTTGCAGTATTAGTTTAGATACAGTCAATCAATTTTAATATTATATTGTGTCTGAGGCATTTAGTTGAATCACCTGCAAAGCTATTCATCTTCTTTCCAAACCCCTCTATTTCTCCATAAATAGTGAAAAATCAATTTAGTGCCTGGCACCGTGTTTTATGATCCTCTATGGCAGAACTTTCTCATCACTTTTCTATTTTATATAGTGGGAGGTTCATTACATCAATGGTTTTTTTCCTGGATTTTTATTAATGTACTCATATTCCTGGAACACTGAATCAAATGTTTATAGGGAATAGAGCCTTAAACAGAAAGAGGTTTCAGAATGAAGAGGTTGTTCTCACCTTCTAAAAAAGGTAATGAAAATAATGGACAGTATGGGAGTTCAAAACAAGGAACAGGGAACGGCTAGTAGCTGCAAGATGCATGAAGTATGTGTACCAAATACTTTCTCAACGTCTTCCTTTTTCTCAGTCAATTTTTGATGAGGAGAAATTGAGTGCTGGGATCCCTATGTTTATTGTAGGGAGATATCTACCTAGGGTGGTCCCGAGTAGTTACATGTCCTTAAGAAATGCAGGCTTCCCGAGTCACCTGTCCAACTGCAAAGCTACAGCACATGCTAGCAGCGCCTGATAGGACCACACCATGTACTATACCTCCAATCCAGGATTCACCTGTGCAATGCTGTTCTCTCCTGGAGTCTGGGCAGGATTTCTCTGAACATCCAGTTAGTGGGCAAATAGTTACACTGGGAGCAGGAGAGGTTTCTGTGCAGATAAGCCATTGGAGCCCATTCACATTATAGCAAAATAATAGAGTAAAGCAGAAGCACAGGTGCATGTTACCCACTTGTGTTTGCAATGTGACCTCAGGCTCACATGTCTCACCCATGGTAGGATCTACATGCTTCCTCTTGCTTCCAGAGTTGGCCAATCACCATATAGATAAGATGGTGCAAATGTTCATATCAAACATCACAGCACAAATTGGAGGAATTTTGGTAGCATGATCCACTCCATCTGTATGTTCTGCTTTGCGATAATCTATTAACTGGCTCAAACTCTAAATGCCTGCAATGCATTTTAAGATATCTTTGAACAATGCATATGGTAAATGCAAGCTATCAATAAAGAGACATAAGTTTAGGGCCTGTGTAACATTTCCGGAATAGATATTTTCTGCTGACAGTTGAGAATCTTTTGAAGTGAGTATCTAACCCACATGGAACCTTGGCTGCATTTCTGTCAGGCTTTGATGCTGAATGAGCAAAGTGCTAAACCCCATCCCCTCATTTGAGGCTTATGCAAGACTGGGGAGGCTAATTTCTGCACTTAGCCAGGAGTAGATGGATTGCACTGGCTCTGCATGAAGAATAGTGAGG